AGGTGCTCATTGAGGCCTAAATATGACCTGGAACAGTTCACTGGTAACAGAGATACACCCCCAAAAGTTACCAGCTGCAGTGTGTTCTCAGAGCCAAGCCGAGAGAGCTCACAGTACAGGATGCTGCACCTGGGGAGGAGGAATCCACAGCACACATACAAGCTGGGGAGCTCCCCCCCTTGAGAGCACAGAGGTAGAAAGGGATCTTGGAGTCATTATGGACTCCAAGATGAACATGAGCCACCAATGCCAGACCGCAGCCAGCAAAGCCAACCGCACCTTGTCATGCATCCAAAGATGCATCTCAAGCCAGTCCAGAGAGGCAATACCCCCCCCACACGACACTGGTCCGGCCTGAATTGGAGTATTGCGTCCAGTTCTGGGCATCACACTTTAAGAAGGATGTGGCCTGCCTTGAGAGGGTTCAGAGGAGGGCCACCCGCTTAGTTGGAGGGCAACAGGGCAGGCCCTATGAGGAGAGGCTGAGGGACCTGAACCTGTTCAGCCTCAGCAAATGGAGGCTGAGGGGGGATTTGGTGGCTGCCTACAAACTCGTTAGGGGAGATCAGCAGCAAATAGGAAGGGTCCTGTTCCCCCCAGCACCACCTGGGGTGACAAGGAACAATGGCCAGAAGCTGCTGGAAAATAGGTTAAGGTTAGAGAGTAGGAGGCACTATTTCACTGTTAGGGTGGCTAGGATCTGGAACCAACTTCTTAGGGAAGTGGTCCTCGCTCCTACCTTGGGTAAATTAAAAGAGGGTGAATGAACACCTATCTGGGGTCATGTGATCCCAGCATGTGCTCCAGCCATTGGGGGAGGGGGGGGGCAGTGTTCAGACTAGATCATCTATTTAGGTCCCTTCTGACCCCTAACTACTATGAAACAGTGCACTACATGCTGTATGAGGCTTCACCTCATTTTAAAAAGTGGTAGTCTATTCCATTTTGCTAGCCAGGCTCCTGTTTAAGCAGCTGTTAGTGGAATTGTGCAGCACGAGGATTAGCTATATAGAATGGTTCAAAACCCCTCTGTTCTCTCTTGCAGATGGCAGACTGTGGGGGGCTGCCTCAGGTAGTTCAGGTAAGAACTCATTTTCTGGTTGAGCAGATTAGAGTTGTCTTAAAAACACATGCTTTTATTCCACTTGCACTAATGCCTTGTGTTTTTCTCTGCAGCCAGGGAAGCTGACAGAAGCCTTCAAGTATTTTGTTCAGGGAATGGGCTATAGTAAGTAACCAACAACTTCGCATTCTGGAGCAGGTTTGGTTTTACAGAGCTCAGATTATCTGTGGATTGTGCTGAGCTCTCAAGGATACATAAGTCATCTTTGTATCATAGCAGCAATGTCCCCCTCTCTTAGTATAGAGCATACAGCTACTGAGCTCCATGGATCTTGTCAAGAATGGAAAATGAGTGGTATGAAAATACATGCTAGAAAGCTTGTTTTATAACCATAGTTTAACTACCAGTTAAGCACTTAGTATAGATAAAGTGATCATCAGCTCTAGGGCCATCTATTTGTCCCAGTTTAGAAACAGTCTGTGTTCTAGTGGGGTAGTTGATCCTTTGCGCTAGGTCCCAAAGGAAGTGCTTGAGAGAGCAGACTAGGCTACCTCCTACCAACGTAATTCTGGTCCAGGGAGGGGGACAAGGCTAGCTGTGGAGAATGCTTTACAACAGTGGTGCTGCAAGACCTGACAGCACTGCTCTGCATGTGCTGTTCTTCCCTCCTGGGACACAATTTGCTTCCTTACAGATTTTCACTGTGCAGATGCCAGTGAAGCTTCAGAGCCAAACTCACCAATTGCCAGGCATTAGAGCTGCTCACTTCCCTAGACATCTAAACAAATTGGTCCCTATTATCCAATAGGCCCTAGGCAGAGCATTGTCTTGATGTTAGACTTATCCTGGCCTCAAATTACTCTCTTACCTTGTTCCCAGATGAGTAGGTCAGGTTGAAAGAGACTTCTATTATGTGACCCCCCCCCCATCCTTTCCTTTCCTTTGCCCTCAAGACAAGATACTAGGAGAATTTGCAGACTTGTTGGAATGTGACTCTGGTTCGTCTTAAACAGCATGCATACAGCCAGAAATACAGCCCAGTAGCTTGGAGAGCAGCATCTGGCCAGTAAGACACTGGGAGGCAGGGTGCATGGGTGGGGGGGATAGATTGAGGCCACCACTGTGAGGGAGAACGGTTTCCTTTGCCCTCAAGACAAGATACTAGGAGAATTTGCAGACTTGTTGGAATGTGACTCTGGTTCGTCTTAAACAGCATGCATACAGCCAGAAATACAGCCCAGTAGCTTGGAGAGCAGCATCTGGCCAGTAAGACACTGGGAGGCAGGGTGCATGGGTGGGGGGGATAGATTGAGGCCACCACTGTGAGGGAGAACGGGGGGCAGGGGCAGGTGCTACCCAGCCAGGACGGTGCAGGACAGAGCACCT